ACACACACACACACACACACACACCATTATCACACACACACCATTATAAACCGTGTTAGTGCTCTCAGGTCACCGATGAGTCCACACTCACCTGCACACATCATTCCTGGTCGGAATCGGTCTTTGTAGAATCTCTGACAGTTGTCGATGAGCGACACGTTGGCCCAGAGCAACACCTGAGCTGCTCGACCATCTGCACACAAACATTCCAATAATCAAACACTGACACGATCAACACTCAAAATAACTTGTGTCACTTTACAACATTCAGTCTGTTTGAGGAAATGATCCATAATGTCGACAGACAACACTGGCTTGAACAAGGGACAATATTTAAAATATATTTTTTATTAAATGTCTTTGAATCAAAGCTATAGAGCTAACAACAGCAAACAAGTATTACTTAAAGATGCAGGTTACTTAATCAGGAACATTGCACCGATGTTCCACATATGATTGGCCCCTCTGTGTGAAATGAAAAATCCAATCTTCATCTCTTTCTTTTTATTCATGTATTTCAAATTAGTTTTGTAACAAGTGAAAAAAAAAGCTCACTTGTGTTTTCAACTCATTTTCAATTAACAAGGCATTATCTCAACTTTCCTCACCTCACCACCAGAGGTCCTCGTTTACGTTTAAGTTACAGTTCTTTTCTTAACGTGTGATGTCACAGCCGAACAGTGGCGTACAGACCTATAGTTCGTCCCCATCCCGAGATGCTGCAAGTGTGGTTGGCCTGGAAAAGCTGTGTGGACCAGGGGACACAGACAGCGCTGATGGCCGGATTGTCCTCAAAACATTTGTCCTTGAACGGAAGCTTCTCCAGCTTCACCAGAGCAATGTCGTTCTCGTACGTTGCGGCGTTGTACCTGCATTCCGTTAAAAGGTCAACAAATCTTTTTTTCATTTTTCTATCCAGTGTGTTCGGTCAACGTTTAAATGGTGATCGTACAGAGAGAAAGATTCGTACTTGGGGTGGATGCGTATATCTTCAACCGGAACAATGTCCGTCGTGTCCTGAGCCGACCATTTCCTCCAGAGAGAAAACTTGACTTTGAATGGAACCGGGTTGGGTCTGATGAAGAGACGGTTACTAGCACGACTATAACGTCTTTTAAATACAATCAGTCCTTAAAGTGCAAATCTAAAGAAGATTGACATAGTCTGCCTAAATTAAAACATTTTTTAGTAATAAAACAAGAACATGAAGTAACAGATTATGGAGCGTTTGTTAATCATTAATTTATCCTATCTTAATTCCCGCGTGATATTTATCGTGTGCAAAGTGAATATCAAAAAAAAAAAAGAAGATAAAAATAATCAGTTCTTCAGGGCTCCGTGCAAATCTGATCAAAATCAGGATGCGAATATTTCATGCTACAATAACACGTCAGCATTTACCTGACGCAGTGAGCAGCAGTGAGTACCCAGCAGCCCCCGATGTACGCCCCGCCACAGTCGATCTTCTTGTTCTCCTCCAGAGCGATCTGCCACTGGATCTGAGTCTGTACACACACCCACCGGTTTTATTGATAACTGTATATATAGACGATCAGTGAAAATGCTGACAGTGACACACAGATCTGATGGAACTAAAAACACACAACAGTGTTTCTGACTGACCGGTTTTGCCGGGACTCCTCCCACCACTCTCTTGACGCGTTGGCTCCGCCCTCTCTCCTCCACAATCTCATCGTCCACCGTGGTCGCGTTGGGAATCCCACACTTGAGCTTTGACTCCAGTTGTAATCGACTGACTCTGATCTCTACACACGAAGAGATCAGTTTGAAATCCATCCATCCATCCACATACTTATCCATTCATCCATTCATCCATTCATACTTATTCATCCATCCATCCACGTATTTGTAAAGTGTAATACCAGCTCTGAGAATAATGTTCTGAGAGCTTCACAGTTAACGAACCTGTTTTAGGAGAGATGAATACTGCCCTCGATGTACCTGAGCTTCTTGAGAGACTCCGCGTCCCCCCCACTGTGGAAAATACTAATATTTGTTATGTGAAGTAAAACAACCACAGAGTTCTACAAAGTCTTAAAGTTGGTACATTCACAGTGTAGTATACTGTAGTAGAAGTATTTTTATTACTAGACTTTATTAATTCAACCACATAAAAAGGTCAAAAACATTATCAATCTACTTTTAAAGTCAAATCATTTTGATTTAAAAAATATAAAATTAAAAACACAAAAGAATAATTTCTAACAACTGAACGAGAGTGAGTGTAATTTAAAATGTCAACGTAAGAGTGTGTGTAACTCACTGTTGTTCTCAGGTTTGTGTCTGATTGATTCGTCTTCACCATCCAGACAGTCGATGTGTTCGTCATGGACGGAATCTTTATGAATACACACACCTGTCTTACACAGGAACCCCCCGCTCCTGCAACCTGACAATACAGGGTTATTACATACATGTGTGTGTGTGTGTGTGTGTGTGTGTGTGTGTTTTTGTGTGTTTGTGTGTCTGTGTGTTCGCTCTAGTGTGTGCTTTACTTTTGCAGCACATTTCATCACTGTTGTCTCCACAGTCGTCGACTCCATCACATGTCTGGTTCAAAAACACACACTTCCTGTTTGCACATGTGAAGCCACAGTCGTCTGAAATGAACAAACACGAAAAGTCAGAAAACTATTCATCCATTCATCCATGAATTCATCCATTCATCCATGAATTCATCCATTCATCCATGAATTCATCCATGCAGACCTGGCAGTGCCCGTGACGCATCGTAACACGTTGCCCTGGCGACCGCCGTGTTGTCGATCTGGGCCGGGTTATGGATGACACACTCGGCCAGGGAAGTCTCGTAACCAAGGCAACGGATGCTGACACAGCTGCCTGGGAACCGTTCGTCCTGATGCTCGGTCGTCAGGGAGGAGTAAGAGATGGTGTCAGCGACCGCCGCGCCCCTGTTCACGAGACGCGTCGTCAATCCATGTTCTTCATTCACATCTCATCTCAGACTTTTAACACAACAGTGACGGTTTATTTATGTGTGTTGTATAAATACATGTGTCCTCTCACAGTGGATTCCCGTGTTCTTTGCAGGCCACGTTAGCTGCCGCCATGTCCCACAGATTCTGACAAATCAGGTATTTCGTAACGCCTTCTTCGGAGTTCTTGTCAGGAACCAAGACGCTGACGACTCCGGTGGCAGAATCTATCGAAGTCATGAAAGTGCCTGCGTTTAAAAAGAGAACGATAACATTAACTTAAAACATATATACAAGTTACACAATATATATTATATAAGATGACAAATTCGTCTGTAAGAGCGAACCTTCACAGATTTCACCAAAGTGCGACATGATAGATTTCTTAGTCCGACAAGAGAGCGCCATCACCTGGAAAAAGATTGTTATTGTTATTAATGACGTTAGCAACTGTGACTTTATGTAAAAGATGATCAGGTGGAAATAAACTTTGATGAATACACTAATTGTTATGAATTCAATGTATAGAAAACCATAAACATGATCTAAATCTAAACTTGTTTCCGTCCCTGTGGAAAAGTGGGATTGAACCTGGCAGTAGGAGCGGTACGTCCTCTGGTCTCGACCACAAACTGTATTCACGTCATCAACGGGACACAGATACGGAGTTTTACAAGAGCACTCTCCTTCGATGCAACGCTCCCACGGAGGACAGAACACCAGGTCACATGATGCACGAGTCAACCTGGTGAACACACACACACACACACCAACAATCAGAGTTTATTCACAGAGAATCTATATATATACATTTAAATCTAAAGTGTTTAGAACAAAAACAGTCACGTGACCAAAGAAAGAGACGTTCAGATACTGACTTCTTCTCCAGACACTCAGATGAACCCAGGAACTTATCTTCTTCTTCAGCTGCAGGGGTCGGGGTCGGGTGGGGGGGGCTGGTGGTCTCAGGGGTCAACAGGATTGAAAACTGTGGTGTGTGTGGTTTCTGCTCGATTGAGCTGTCATAATCTGATGGCTTCCACTGGAGGAGAAGTTACAACACCAACACAATCACATTATAGGCACATTATACAACAGTCACACAACTTCAAATGTCACATTTAAAAATAACAAAAGAATGATCAGTCTGTAAAATTGATTTATTTACTGTATGTTATCGCTTCAAATGAATGAAAAACTAAAAAAATACATGAATGATGATTCAAATAAAAAATTATAAAGATTAGTTATATAAATTAATTATATAGAATTTAAATGATTTTAAAATATATATAAAATAATTACCATGAGCTCCAAGTGTAGCAGTTAAAACATTCAAGTGAGAAATAACACACTCTATATTCTACTTGTACTTTAGTAAAAGGTCCTAGTACTTCTTCTGCCACTGCAGTATAATCTACATAGGATTATAAATACTATATGTGACAGTTTCTTCTGCTCTAAACGATATCAAATAGAAAGAACTGGAACATCTGATTTAATATTAATAATAAGTGATGAAACAAGAACAAAAAAACCTTTAGAATGTTTTACTCACAGTTTCAGATTTAATGACGAGCAGAAACAGCAAGAGAAGAGAAACTCCGACTGATCTCATGTTCGACTTCAGCTTCAAAATGTTTTCTCAGAAATGTTGCTGTGGGTGAAAAAAAATCAAAATCAATATAAAGACTTACATTAAAAAAAAAATTGTATCGATGAATTCACAGCTGCAGACACAGAAACAGCTTTTCTCTGTTCGGCCGATGACCTGATTATGTCTTCTGTCGTCAATCATTAGCTCGTCTCATCGATATGTCTCATCAGACTCTGACTCATCTGATCGTGATCTGGGAACGATGAGGCGGAAAACACAGACCCCAGTCACACAAACACATATGGTCCATGTGGGCAGAGTCACTGCTGAAGGTTGAAGTTTTGTTTGTTTTCTGCAAACGTGAGGATCCAACTCATAATGTTGGGAAAGAAACAAGTTCAAAATCTAAAAGCAATGATGTCGAATTAAATGTATTGTTTCCTCATGAGACCGCTGCCGTCTCGCTGGGTTATGGGGAAGCTCCGATGTAGGAAACAGATTAGTAGATTGTCCTGCTGCACCTGATGCTGCTGCTAATTAGTCAATTTAGCAACATTTGTTATTTTAAATATAAAAACCATTATTTGTCTTTTGTAACGATTATGGCTAAAACACCTATATTTGACTGTAGACATTGTGGCCCCCTCTCTGAGTCTCGTGACCCTCCACAGGGCCCCACCCCCTAGTTTGGGAACCACATTGCATAAAACAAATGTTCTCCTCAGAGGTAAACAAGAAGTTAATATCCATACTCAAGTTTCATTGTATTTTAGATTCACTTTAAATGTTCTTCTTAATCTTTTATATTGATTATTTGTAATGAATACATTTCAATTATTGTTTAAATGTCAGTAAATGTAACTGTGTTTTCTAGTGCTGTCCATGTGACTACACTGAAGCCAGATGCATGCTGGGACAGGCCGCTGCCGCCTGCGACCCTGAGGAGAATAAACAAAAGCAAGTTAATGTTGACACGGGATCAATTGGAGAAGATTTCAGAATCACTGTTGATTTAACGGGTGACTCAGATCAAAACCTGTTGATCTAGTTTGGTCGATTTCATAAACACAAATACAGGATGGAACAAAAAGGATCCATTACCTCACCGGCTTTATGCTCCAGTTTAGATTTACATTATATTATTATTTTAAGACCCTTGAATTTGTTAATTCATAAAAAAGTAATAAGACTATGTTTAATAATCTCTTTAATGAGGAATAATGTTAGAATTATATTTCCTCTTTTAATACTGCACCTGATTCATTATCTGTTATTTATTTGGGACAGGCCACAGCCGCCATAATCTCACATTAAGAAACTTTAAACAAAATCATTCCGTAAAATTCTCTGCAGTTGGTTCAGGTCACTGGAGAACACACACAAGATCAATAAGGTGAATCAATGTGCGTCTGTGTGTCCACAGTGGTGAGATAAGGGAACGAGTGACGCTGCACAAACGTATTTATTTATTTTTCATTGCTGAGATCTCTCGTGTGATCAGTTGAACTTTTTGAAATCTATATCAGTGCTTTAATACGTGAATTGCGCTGTATGAATGTAATGTAATGAACATTAGAAATCTATAAATTAAGTGAAGGATGAAGAAATAAAGGCTCAAAATCAAAAACATGTGACAGAACACCATAATCAACAATGACCGTTTTCATTTTATTGCACCTTGTGGATCATCATCTCCAAAGCCTGTAATATCTGGACATATAATTCCCTTCTGGGAAACACACAATATACAGTAAATTATCATCTTAGAAAAAAAAACATTAAATATATTTAAGAGTAACATGCAAAGAGAATATAGAAAAGCCTTTTTAGAACAATAGTTTAAATACAGATACACAGAGGCACTGACATGAGCACAGATGACACACAAGCCGTCAATGAAAAACAAGTTGCAACAATGAAAAGTGAATTTTTTTAAAGGACAAGATTTTGGTCATTGATGTTTAGTTTACTCAAAGCTAACGTGTGTGAAACATACATCCCCGGTGCGTCATCCCTGAAGAACTCTGAATTGAGGCAGCACGCGACACATTACGATGCTGATTTCAAGCGTCACACTTAAAACATTAGCCTTAAACCAAAATCGCTGAATTCTGAGCGCAAGAGGAGAGGAGATTTATTTTTTAATCCGATGAACAGAAGAGTTTGGGATAATTGTAGATATAACCTTCAAACTGCAGTCAAGTGTTACTAAAAGATTCTGTTGGTTTAGACTGAAAGTTAGTTGATAGGTGATAATGAGCGATGAACTAGGGCGAGTAACGTTACCGAACAACTCTGCCGGTAGTTTCCTAGCATTAGGAGTGGATTGGACATCGTAGTACTCATTGCCACAACTCCTTCAAGAACTTCGTGTGACTCTATCCCTAACAAGCTCCAGAATATTTACTGCATTTGGTGAATTTTACTGTTTGGAAGTTAAGTTTCAGAGCACGTGAAAAAAAAAAAAATTACACTCAAAACACACAAAAAGGCACAAAATACAAACAAAAGGCAACAAGACACACAAATGATTTGGTCTTCAGGTTGATACATTCATTATAGGGAGAAGGCTAATTGTTTCTGCTCGGGTTTTCTGATCGGAATGTCCGAACCAAGCTTCATGTGTTTGTTCCTTTGTTTTATTTGATCTGGTTACTTTTGGTTTCACATTGAAATTTATGGAGAAACAACTGTGTCTGACATACGTACGTCCTGTCGTCATCACCTATGCGGGCTGCGTCTACCTGTACTTGACACTGATTGAAACATGAATAAGGAGCTTCATTCGGTTGCCGTGGTAACATCATTATAGTATTACGAGCAGCATCAGAACCGTCAGTACTCTACACCCGCTCAAACGAACGTCCTCGTGGTTCAAACAGCAGATTGACATGAAAACTGTCCAAATACAAACCCACTGCATCTTCTCAATCCATCTACGTTGTGTTAATATTACATATTATTACATTACATATACATCATGGTGAATAGTATCAAACTAGCCTACAAACATTAGCAGAATAATGGGGATTGATATCATAGATTGTGCTTCTTGTATTCATCAGTACACAAATAAACTGACATTGTTTAACATATATATATATATATATGATATAATAGAAATAGGCCTTGTCTTCCTTGGCTAGTTGGTTTATTATCAGACTCCATACGTCCACAACAGTGAGAACGTTAGCAGCTCGACGCATGACGACAACTTTGTCAACAGAAGCTTGAGTGAATGTGGATCGAGTGTAGTTTTAGTCGAGCAAACATTTGTCAAAGGCAGAACTGAGTCAAGTGAATAAAATATTTTCCTTAAGTCAACAAAAAGCCACAGTGACACATTTCATTTCCACCAACCAAAACCTTTTGAAGCGAGAGAGTAACTTCCTTATAAGCTGCTCTGCTTCTGATGAAACTCACACTACAGCCTGACACACACTGACAAAATGAGAGAAGCTTTATTTGACTCAGTAACAGCACAGGATCTTTTATATTGCTGCTAAATGTGTGCGTTTACAGCCATTTGTGTTTGTGTGTGTGTGTGTGTGTGTGTGTGTGTGTGGATAAGCCACGGTTGGTGAGAAGGCTGTGATAGCTTATGCACAGTCACACTCATTTGTGTATCATGTGCAGATGTGGCATCATTTGAGAAGCAAAGTAAAAAATAGAAATAAAGCGTTTGTGCTCCTGCCCCCTGCTGTTGAATCAACACAACACAATCAACACATAACTTGTATAGGTCAACAGCGCCCCCTGCATTCACACGTGGGGATAAATTCTGTTAAGTCTATCAATGTGTTGAATGTAGCTCTGGAACACAAATGAACGCCGGATATTACCCATGATCCTCAGCTTACTGAACCGGAAGAGCTGCGGCGGTAACGAATCCACCAAACTCTGTTTAGAATTCTTCATATTTTAAAAGTTTCCTGCTGAATATTAGAGATAAACTCTGGTTTTTAATAACTTCAAAGTGTTTTTAACTGATCTACAGTTCAGCTTCACTCTCCAACTGTTCTGGAGCTGATTGTGACAGTTGAAGCTGTGACTCTCCGTCAGTTCTCTCAGGAGATCGAAGCCGCTCACCAGAGTTACAGAGAACAGACGCTCAGGGTGAGGAAACATTCTCCATGTTCACACTCGCTCAAACATCAAACTCATTTTAATCAAGCTGCTGCTTTAAGGTAGAAAAACTTAAAATGCGTTGATTTAACGTGAAAACACTCAACTTTGAATCCATCAGTGTTTACGACTCGACAGACGAACAAAGATCTTCAGGTGAGTCGTCACTTCAGTTTAAGGCCATGATTTGTTTCCTGGCAACAGTACCATGAATCTGCACCACCAATAAAAACCTCTGTGAGATACTAAAGGGACGTCGGAGCCTGTTTGAGGAGGTACAAACTTAAATAATCTCATTTTTCCAAAAAAATAAATAAGTAAACAAATAACATTTCATAAGCAATAAAAAAAAAAACCTGTGGTCATGTGAAAACCTCGACACACCTTCGCTGCTTCATTACTGCGGAGAGTCCCTGGATGTTTCCTGCAGGACTCAGCGGTCAGGAGTATTATGGGGTGCAGACGGGGGATCCTTTGAGGCTGCTGAGGGCCGCGTGGATCCTAAAGTGCAGTCTGGACTCCATGGAGTAGTCCTTGTAGTTCGTCCTGATGAAGAGAGATAGAAACATGAATCTTCACACACATACATGCATAAAGTAAG